CTAAAAAAAAAAAAAAAATAGGAGTCCTCTTTGTCTATAATACATTACATCTTAGAAAATGATTTCAACATTAGTAAAACTGAGTAAAAAATACAGAAACTTAACAGTAATACGCAGAGACATTACTGCATTTTATATTGAGGTGAGCATTTCATAGGTATCTCCAACTACTTTTCCAGTACTATTTCAACTGGCTGGGATATTCAAAACACGCAAGTATAAGGCTTAAGTAAAAAAGCAGATACATTAAGTATTAACACCAAAAACCCACCCATCATGAGCAAAAATAAATTCAGATTTTTAAGCACAGGGAACACATGACAAATCAATAGAAATTCAATTCTGAGGCACAGAGAGGGACATGTAATGGGTCCAGTGGGGGAAGGCGACAGGTGGACAGGACTGGTTTCTAAGCTAGTGCAGGGTCAGCTGAGCAGAGGGAGCCCAGCAGACGGTGTGTGCTCAGAGCATGGGATGACAGGCTGCAAGAGCTGGGGGAGTCTGACTGGCAGGGGACATGGCAACAAGGAACCGAGTTCTCAAACATCCTGTAACAGTTCTGTATGAGATCACACCCAGCAATATCCCAGACGGTAGAAGAGAAAGTTTAACCAACCTTTATTAATAACCAAAATAATATGCATAACAGCTGTGAGACACACAATGCCTTCAATATCATCAGAAGTAACACATGCCTTTAATTCATCTAAAAATGACCTGCAAAAAAAATTAATAAAAATCCGTAATTATTCTATAGTATATATGCTAATACTTTATAGAAAAGACTAAGATAGCCAAGATTCATCAACTACCATGAATTCTAGCTTTCAGGTAGTGGGAAGTTGATTAAACTCTTCTCATACTTTTCACTATAAGCATGCCAAATCACAGCACAGGTAAGATATTAACATAAGATGATGTTGCTAGAAAGAGAATAGGGACGTTCTGGTAACCGAGAAAAGCTACTCTGTATACCCACAATGCACACAAAAAAGATTTCATATCACTGAAAATAACCCGTGGATGCTAAATACGATGCTTTTAACATTTTCATTGACTGTATCTACTACTGCAGTTCCTCAGGTATCAGACAACTGCGAAACCTTTCCTTCTCTACTCCACCAGTCCTGAGTGTGCCACAACAATCCCTGGGCTTCAGCCAAGGGACACACCGGCAGCACCGTGCGCCAAGAAACCACGCTGGCATTGAACCCACGCAGGTGTGCGGCGTATCCTTAGTAAGAAGTATTCTACTACACAGCGACATTTTAAATGTTTCCCTCCAGCTGAATTTTAGTTATGGTAAGCATAACCAGGGATTTTTCGGATGGATGTATTTGACAGAAAGTTTGAATTTCTCTTTGTAGAAGTATAATGCAAAATTTTTGAAAAATGCAACTATTTTTAATTGCTGATGAGAGAAAATTCTAGGAAATATTTTTCTCATGGGAAAAAAAGCACCTTTGAGAAATTTTGAGAGCTGAAGGAATACAGCAAAATCTACTGAGAGCTTCTAGTCACAAGGAGAATCTCAGGACAGTAAAGAGAACATGGTTACCTGATCACATCCGGAGACTTCATTATCATTCCTATTAAACACCTTGAAAATGGTGGGAGGTCTGAAAGAACCTCAGGGGTGGTGAGCTCTTCCATATTAGAAACCTAAAAAGAAGTTCCAAATCAGTAATTTCTAAATTGAGACTGAGACAGGCTAGTAACTTGTTTTATACCGCTGTGGGTTTTCAACCAGAAACTAAAAAGAATAGTTTTTATTAACTGTTGAAATATCTATAGTAATTATGATTATTATTGTAGACAGGGGTATATTATTCATTGGACAGAAGTGAAAAGATAAAAACGTTCAACAAACCTTTTCTCAGACAGCCTGTAATGCGGGAGCACTCTCTGTAAATAATGTGTTTTTATGCAGGTCTAACTGGCTGTTGTTAATCATCCAGGATCGGGTTTTCTCAGTCTCAGCATGACCGACATCCTGGACTGAATAATTCCTTGCTGTGGGCCATGCTTTGCACTGCAGGGTGTTGAGCAGCATCCTTGGCCTCCACCCAGCAGATCCCAGTAGTACCCCCTCCCCAGCACTGCCAGTGTCTTCTGGAGAACCACCCACGGTGCAATAATGTTGGTCTGGACCCACGTAAGGGGCTCTGGATTTATGCCCCTCATCACCAACCTTACAAGTTTAAAGTCATCCACTAGTGGCAAATGAACTCCACATGCAAATGGCTCCTTGGAAAATCTAAATCCAAAACCCTGCTCTGGAAGGGGTGGGGGCTGGGGGGGGCGGGGAGGGTTATGTCTTTGTTGCCTGATCCCCCCCCCCATCTCCTCCTCACTCCATCCACCTTTATACATCCCATACTGTCTCTCGTCTACTTCTCGGCCATCAGGGGACTCGACTCAGGTATAACTACATAGTACTTCTAAACAGCCTTTCCATATGCCCTCTGGAGGATTCATAATACTAATGTGGATATTAAAGTCCAATCATTATTATGTTTGAAATAGCTGTTTCTCATTAAAATGCTTTACATCTTAAATGTTGTGAATGCATTTCTGATATAGACAAATGATTATTGACTGGTTAAAATAAAATGTATCTTGGGGCGCCTGGGTGGCTCAGTCGGTTAAGTGTCCGACTCTTGGTTTCAGCTCAGGTCATGACCTCAGGGTCGTAGATCCAGCCCTGCATCAGGCTCTGTGCTCAGTGCGGAGACTGCTTCAGATCCCCTCTCCCTCTCCCTCCTGCTTATTCTCTCTCTCTCTCAAATGAATATGAATAAATAAAATCTTTTAAAAAATGTATCTTGAGATTTTTAGCATATGTAGCAGTAAGATATAACAGCACAGAGTAGGAGAATGCTAATTGGAAGAACATTGTTACAAGACTCTTATGATGCACAGGCATACCGTAATTTCTTAGGGAGATTGATGAGTTAAATATGCATACTAAAATGAAACCTAAAACAATTACACAAAGGACAATATAAAGTCAACAGAGAAGATAAAATGGAACAAACACCTGATTCATCAAGAAATGGCAGGAAAAGAAGAAAAGTAGGGGGACTAATAGAAAACAAACATCAAAATTGTCAAATTAAATACAAACATATCGATGGTTTCATTAAAATCAAATGGGCTAAGGGCGCCTGGGTGGCTCAGTTGGTTAAGCGACTGCTTTCGGCTCAGGTCATGATCCTGGAGTCCCGGGATCGAGTCCCGCATCGGGCTCCCTGCTC